GTTGATTCGAGAACCTGTAAACAGTTACTTATCCACTGGGTAAGTCTGAACCACCTTTCCTGAGTAGTAAACCAAGGGTTTTTGCAAGCTCGATTGCATCCTGCACATTATCAATTGAAGTGAAATAGGAAAAAAATAGGAACTCTTATCTACAACTTTCTGGACATCTTTATTCAATTCCTTTCCGAATATATCTACCGTCTTCCGAAGAGCGAAATTAGCGCAAAAAGGAGAGGACACGGCTCCAAACGGATGAACTGTCAAACAATATTCTTTACCCTTTCGTCCTATATCACCGTCTTCCCACCATAATAGTCCAAACGCTCCCCTATCTCGTCTCGGGATCTTTACTTGAAGGAACATCTCCTCGATGTCAGCGGCTAATGCTACGTTGCATAATCTGAATCGTAGAAGTATACCAATTAAACAATTTACAGTATTTGGGCCTCTCAAAAGCTGATCGTCAAGAGAACAACCTTGATAGACAGCTGCACAATCAGAAACAATTCTTAATTTTCCAGGCTTTTTAGGGTTGATAACAGGATGATGAGGAATATACCAACAAACAGCATCACGGCCGAATTCCTCCTTACTAGCTTCAATGATGTAGCCTTTACTTAAATGTTTACTCATTACAAGTTGATATTTCTCCAGAAGACTATTATCCTTCATAAACCTCTTCCTTAAACACTCTAGTCTACATTCAGCTAGTTCCAAGTTGTTCGGTAGCCTTGGCTTATCATACTTCCAGGGTAGACCAACTTGGAAATGGCCACCCTCCAGTCTAAAGGAACTATTAACTATTTCTAGAGCTCTTTTATCTTCGACAGAATATTCATTACGAAACCCATCCGCATCCTCGAACTCATGATTATATAATCTTTCTATATCTCGCAAAATATCATTAGTAGAACAATGACACCACTGAACTTGATGTAAAGACCTCGATGCTTCTTTAGGACCTAAAATCATCCAACCGAGATGAGTACGCACACCAAACGGATGCTTCCTATCTCCCAGGCGTTGTTCAAGGACCCAATGTGCATCTGGAGCATCACACCTAATCAATATTCCTACTAGATTACTTTGCAGCCTCGGTAGGGTTATGTCCTTTAAATGTTTCCACCTTCTCAGCTGGAGTTCGGTTAAAGGTTCTGCATAATTGATCGGAAGTTTCTTGGTCGTATAGGCCTTGTTGATCTTTATAGAACCCCGCTCATCTAATGAAAATACCTCTAAATTTACTTCCAGACATTCACAAGTAGAAGTTCCATTCACAGTCGTCACCGTTATTGAAGTCTCCTTACCTTTGAGACCTAACCGATTAACTAAATCTTCGCATACAATAGAGGTATCTGAACCATTATCTGGAAGAGCGTATGTTTCCAGACATCCTTTGGGGCTATATAGTCTAACCGGAACGATACCCAAACAAACCTTTGAGAATTTACATTCCTTAGCAAAGTTCACTACATGTTTGTTAGTAGCATCAATATGTAATAATGGATTATGCCGACTCTTACAATTATCAACGTCACACCTTGTGTCCGAGTTACACAACTTGGCTATGTGACCCTTCCTTAAACACAGGTAACAAAGAACACGCTTTCTCACTTCCTGTCTCCTCTCTGTAACATTCATTTTCGATAACTTCATACAGTCTTTCTCATTGTGATCATCAAAACAAATTTCGCAACTTAAAGCCTTGCATGATTTGCTTGCTTCCCTCTTAACTACATTAAAGCGTGATCTCCTGTCAACTTGGCCTTCATAATTACTTTTACGGAACCTTGAGTTACAATGTACCAGTCTACCGAAACGTGATCGCGCGATCCTGGCTCTTTCTTCTACAAACATCACTACTTCTCCAAAGATCGGCTCCCTACCGGTCATCATGATCCTATCAGCAGCTTCCACCCATTTATTCTGTAATTCCAGGGGTAAATGCGACACAATTATTTCCAGATTAGCCTTAGAATTCACATCAGACATATACCCCATTTCCTTCAATGTTATGCATACATTACGTAGCTTAATAGCAAAGTCAGTTAGGCCATCGGAGGATACTTTAATAGATTTGTGGCTAAGTAGTTCAGTAATAAGATTACGAGCGAAAAGATGTTCTTTACCAAATAGATCATACAAAATTTGTTTTGCTCTATCGTAACCCAAGTGACTGGGCAAGGAAATACAAGCTTCAATAGCCATTCTGGCCTTTCCTTTACAATAGTATGACAAATATGACAACAACTGGCCCTTGTCAGACAGTTTACTCTCTATAATACTTGTAAACTGACTAATGAAACGGTGGTACTGGCTTGGTTGTCCGTCAAAAAACATCATATCGATCTTAGGCGAAACTGTATTATTAACCGTTGCACGTAACGTATCCATTAATTCGTCAATACAACCGCATTTTGAGGTGTTAATTACCTTATTACGCGCAATATCACAATCCAAGTACCTTTCAACCTTAGCATTTATCTCAGATTTGTCTACTGACAGTCGGCTATCGTTTTCTATGACCTTACATTCTAATTCGGCCATATCAACCTCCTCTTGAAGATCTGACATTTTAAGCTGCTTTTCTAACTCAAGTCTCCTTTCCAAATTCTTCTTCTTAATTAATGCCTTATCTAACCTCAATCTAGAAGTACTAAACTGAGATGAAGACTTACTATTAAGACTACTATCATCAAGTTTATCATCATTAAAATCAGACATACCACAAACAGCTTTAGAAATTTTACCATCTATTTCGTCATTCTCCTTCAGCCTTTTGCTTTTGGTTTCCAATGTATGCTTTTGTTCGAAATCGATTATCAAGCAAATGTGAATTACTCCAAACGTATTCGACCAATAATAACAAAATTTTGACGCAAAATATCTTGGAGCCTAAATGTCTCGAGGTATCCAATGTACGACAAAGGAAACAAATTTGAAGAAATTTTGGACCCAAATGTCCAAAAGTATCCGGTGTATGACCGAAGAACCAAAATTGAATTGTCCAAAGTATCCAAAGACCAAATTAAAATCGAAGAACTTTTTTCAACTTCTCTTCTATCCACTAGTCACTTCACAACTCTTCCTTTTTCATCGCTGTCCTCCTTCATTTGTGGGTTGTATTCCTACAATTTACTTTATCTTGACTTATCACAGTGTCGACTACTTCAACATCACTGGTTAGGTAGTGATTTGTGTTACGTCCAATTTTCGCTCCTTGATCCTTAGAAGCACTGTGTGTCGATCTATTTGCAATTCACGATCCCAATTCAAGGTGAAACCAAATTCCAAAGTTAGGTACCAAAGTTTATTGTCAATTCACAAATAATCGACCAAAATATCGTTGGTTTATTAAAAATAGACGACCAATGTCTTTCTTCTATTTTATAGATTCCTGGAGCAAAAAACTGCAAACGAACAACCAAGACAAACAGGAGTCCGAAATGGCCGAAAATAATAATTCAAACAAGTTCACAAGTTAAGTAAAACAAATATACCCAAAAAACACAGTGAAATTAATGATATTTATATAAAGGTTTTGATCAGCAAAATGTCTTCATTTCTCCCGTAACAATTTGGTTATATATATATATATATATATATATATATATATATATATACTGGCCACGTTGCTGCCTTTCTTATCTCTTTTTTCTCCCTTTTCTGAACCTTATCCATGGCGCCTTTAGGGAACATGCACCCTATGTACATGCATGTCTAGAACACAGTTTGTATCAAGTGCGTTCCAAATAACCTTTCCCAGCAAAGTTACTATCGCTGTAAGCAAACCGCTCAAGAAACTTACTGTGCACCTTCCCTATTTGTATTCTCTTATTCAAAATGTGGTTGTATCATACTGATTTGTCAGTCACATGGTGTAAATGTGCTATCAGAAACTGACAATTATACTTAATTTAACTGCGATAACTTTTGCGGTAGGTGTATAAGCGTTTGTGACAGTTAGATCTGGCCTGTAAAGTAGCATGCCACTTGTAGCGTACTGTTATTTGAGAACATATACTCTTGTTATTATTATAATCTGTAGCTTTTTGTTTCTTTGGTCTCCTTTATTCTTTCAACCATTAGCCCATTCGTTGCCTTACTAGTAACTAGTCTCTATTAACTCACACAAATGCAACTGTTCAGCAAAAGATCTAATATAGAAAAAGCCAAGGTCTAGGTGATCGTACCTTAATCACTGATTCACAAATGTATCAGTTAGGCCATGACTCACCTCCAATCACAAATACCTTCCCTTCACAGTCCGGTCCTTTCTGTCTCCTATTCTTTTTCAGCTTCGTTGGGGTACATTAACGAAAACACATGTGAAACATACCATTCCGTCCTTCACCCTAAATAACACCTTTGATATTTTCGAAGACTTACATCCGGCTTCCACAGAAACCCTTCAAATTATTGTATGGAAAAAGCCATCAAGTGGATCAATGTGCATTTACCCCATCAATTCTTATGATACGCTGGTTTAGACTTAACCTACAGCAATTCTCAGCCACTAGTCGTTCGTCATAATACAAGCAATACCACTGTATTGTACATTCCAGTTTATTACAATCTTGTGTGCAAAAGGTTATCCCTCTGTGTCTATAACCAGTGCACATCGTAAAATATCTACTTGACTGAGCAATCCTGTACAGTTAATGTGGTAACATTTGTGATGAACTGACCTTGCCTGTAATCTGGCATTACTCATGTAACACACTGTTACTCGAGAAATATTATTATTACTGGCAAGAATTATTAACTATCTTAGGATCACCAGGAATATTCACAACAACTGTAAGGTTGAGAGTGGCTTCTAAATTCGTAAGAACAGTACTAGAAGTTTAAATACGCGCCTTTCCCAGTTAATCCAGAAAGAAAGCAATTTATCTGGGTAAGAAACCGTTCTGTTATTAGATAATAAAAATAATTACCTATACAATTTTACACTGTTCTACCTCCAAATTAACACAATGTGTTTCCGATTCTGGAAGAATGCTCCAGTTTAGGTCCAAAATTGCACCCTTCCAGTCCAGATTTAAGTTTCATCCATCAGGGTACCGAATCCGATATGGCTGATGCCATAATTAAGTATCAATCCAAACAACATAATACAGTTCGACAGAAAACATAGAAACTCCAATAAAGGTACAAAAATAGAAACTATAACAAAATGCAAATATTAGCATCACAAAATGGGATTGAACTGAGTACCAAAATGTAGCACAGAAAGAGTCAGTAAGAACATACTACAAATATGTACATTGACAGCTTAAAAAATGGACTCTACAGCAATTAAACGGTTATGTTAGGCATGCCAATAGTAGTTACAAAGAATAGTTCCTCACCACAACCTCGTGAGCAGTACAGTAGAGTAAAACAATAACTGGCACGACTAATTCCGATAATGAATGTTTCTATAAAACCAATCACTTTCTGCTCATAAGAGTATTCCAACATTGTATTATTTTCCTCATTATCATCAGACTATTCTTCTTATTATCTCCATCGCAACTAACTTATCCCCAGCCTGATAATGTGGTAGCTGCAGGTATCCAGAAATCTTACTACTCTGAGACAAACGCAGCCAACCAAATCACAGGGCATGCAAGTTCATACAGAACTTTCAAATGATTTGAAATGGTGCATTAAGAGGCCAGACTACCATCCATTAAACATCGCTAAATTTCTGGAACCATATCGAAAGAACAAGAATCGAGCGCAAATACACTGAATAGGTTATATTATATTGCTAAAAAGATATTGGATACTAACACTACCAAATACCTGGATCTGTACAGAAAGAACAACAACCGAGCCCAAAAATGCAGTTGGTTTATACTAGCTCGTGAAAGATATTGGATATTGGATATTGGAATGTATGACCAAGTTAAATGTATACGTAACATCACTTTTTGTACGTAGTAGTTTTTAGCATGTCCTGAGTTAGAATACTCAGTAAGGTTTCATCCGTCCTGATATTCAACAAAATAACAAAACAGGTGATTTGACTTTGTTTTGGAAAAATCGAAAAATATACTGTTTGTTTGGTAAATTGTAGGATATGGTTTTAACCTGGAGAATGTTTTATGTGCTACTTAGCTATAACGATAATTGTGCTAGTGCAGCTATGTTTAAAGTTCATGGGCCCATATCAAACGAATGGAAAACGAATTTTTAATGGAAAATGTAGTAATTAGTTCTGTTTTGATGTTTAAATAACCACAGAGAAAATCAAAAAATGACTGGTTTAGTCTGGTTGAAAAAATGACAATTTTTAGCTTCCGGTTTGATGTCATAAGATTTTGTTGAAATAAGTCTCATTAGGGACTAAATATAGTAACCACTCTTGTGATTCTACTCTCCGTATTTTAAACTTTTATTACTATTATTATTGTTACCTGTATTTAGTTTGCTTGGCCTTATTAACTCCCCACTGTCTGTGTTAAAGTTAATGTACATCAATTAGTTTAGTGATAGTTGTATTATTTATTAAGTATAAGGTGAAGCAGCATTTGATAATTTGAGACTCTGACCTAGTCCAAAATCGTGGTATACTTCACATGCCATGGTTTATTCCTTTAAGTAGTATATTCGCCTTCTGTAGATTATGACCTAATGAAAAAACTTTAATGATGGTTTCTAACAAGGATACATCTGCGTTGACGACACTAAGGTTTATCAAGACCATTCTTTCTTATTTTCGGCCAATTCTATCATTTTGCGCACTGAAAGGTGATTCTTTAGCCAACTAACTTTCCAGATATTGACCTTCTACCTGGAAACCAACGGACTTGTGTAGGACAGTCTTGCTACATGGAAAAGCCGAAAATTTAAAGCCTTATGAACATTTCGAATAAGTATACAGCAATGTAGTGTGTTTCTCATCCTTTAAGTTTAAAACACAGCCCCAAAACCTAAATGCATCAACATATAATTTGACTGTAGGAAGTAAAGTAGTTGAACATACTAACTTCCTTGCTTAGAGTTTTCACCAGTTCTCATGGGCCTGTTGATGATAAAATCTTTGCACAGATACAAAACATTCATGACTTGTACTATCTCTGTAGCCAAAGATATATCAGTCCACTGAATGTAAAGTAAGAGTACTAGGATGTAATATTGTGCCACCCTGCAAAACATGGCTTTTAAGAATAAATGGCATTCAAAAATTACGAGCATTTGACCACAGATGTTTCCAAATAATTACGCAACCACCGTGAGTATTGATGCAGTCAAGTCGAGATTTCTTTATTGTGCATCCTTTTGATTTATTACTGTGTTGGTGTTGTATAGCAACATAAACTGATGTTTATTAATGTCAGTTCTTATGAAATTTGTGGTAGACGATTTACTAATTTTGTTTGCACATCGACCGGACATTTCCGTATTTTCAAAGTTCAAGCTTTTCTCTGTCTTGATTTTTCAGATTCCTATACGATTTATGAGTTATAACAGTGTACTGAACTACTTTTATTCCTAAAAATGTATTGTGCATTATGTACAGTTCAGTTCTCATCATTGATTAAAAAGGTATTGAAAGATTTAGTTCAATAATCAGCAGAAATCCTGTAAAATATGTGGCTCAGTACAATGTTCAAGTTGCCTGAAGTTTAAACTTAAAGAATCCAAACCAGTATGTATGGACTGTTATTATGATAAAAAAAGGTAATTCATTTGTTGATTTTTCTTTCTACGACCTATTAGTTTAAATGGTTCTGAAGAAGAACTTTGTCCACTCGCTTCTTCAAGGTATTCCTGTTTTCATTTAATGTATCAGTCGTGCATTTATTTTAGCAACATATCCAAAACCTATTAAAACCAGTAATACAGCCCGCTCATGTGATGGTATAAAAATTTCCTAAGACATTTTTATTTTCGGTATAAAGTTCCAGATCCGAAGACTGACGAACTTATTAAAAGGTTTAAAGAACTTAAGAAAGACCCAGTCAAGAAAGATCCAGTCAAAGGTAAAAACTCGGTCTTTCATCATTTTGGCTACAGTGAAGGTAGATGTCTCTGCTTTAGAACATCGATTTCGGCAGCTCAAAGGATTGTCTGATGAAAAACCTACTTCTTTTCCAGACTCGTCATTACCAAAAGTCGATCAAGTTTCTAGACTTGTGGAAAAGGTTAGTCATACTTTTAATAACATTTCCAGTTACAGTGCTAATGCAATATGGCAACCTGAACTGATGTACATACGTACGAATTTCTACGTTGTAATTGACTGACTGACTGGTCTTGATATTTCCTCTTTTAATTGATGGTGGATAATGTATGCATTATTAATTCTACGTGTTTGTTGGTTTATTTTGAGGTCAAACGAAGAAACAATATTCGATTTGAACTGGTTTCGAATGTCCTGTCGTTGATATATTTGATTGAAATTTATTTCAGGTACATTCAGCTAACTAGTCTCATGTAGAATGAAACGCGCGTCCTAGAAACCACTTTTAACCGCAATCCATTTATATTTTATTAAGAATCAATATGTTTTAAATACCTCTTACTGTGTGTTTGTTAGTTACATTAATCATTAAGAAGTTTTATGTGCTACCACACTTACTTACGCCTGTTACCACTCATAAAGCATAGGCCACCGACCAGATCTGTACTGGGTTCTCCTTTTCAGTTGCCCCCAATCGCTATTCATCCTTTTCATGCCCGCCTCCAGTTCTCAGCGTAGTATGTCATTTGACCTTGTGTGTTCCAAGTTAAGGTCTGCCTAGTTGCTCAGTTGGCTGATTTCCACAACACGTATCTTATCCACCCCCGGAGTTTTTCTTCATTTCTTGCTCACTTGAAATCTGGTTTGTTCTCTCCTACAGTAGTTTGTTGCTGATGTTGTCTGGCCAATGGACAAGGAGTATCTTGCTTAAACAACTATTAATAAACACCTGTATCTTTTGAATGAAGACTTTCGTTGTTCTCCGAATTTCCTCTCTATACCATAGAATTGTCTTGACGTTCGCACAATAATAGTGTAATGACTTCAATGTTGGTCAACAGTTTGATGTTGTTGATTCAGTATGAACTGCAACTATTGAATTCAAACAATCAAAGGACAAGTATACTCCACAGTAGTTTACTCTGTTTTATTTGATAGTTATCTATTTAAGGTGATCTTTAAAAGTAGAGAATATTTTTAGGGTATTAACATTTTGTTCATAGGTGTACATGTTTTTCGGTGGCCAAATAGACTTTCTTTTTCACTCTTGCCTTCTCATTTGATTATTTAGTCTTTTCGGGCGCAGGAGGTTTAGGACACATATCGCCTTCAGTCTCGGGTACTGTACATTTAAAACAATTTCGACCTTCTCCATCATTACATTATGTTGAATATATATATCTACATAACTCTCTTTACTAATTCATCAAATCTTTATCAAGCCTTCGGATACAAAAGGTTCGATTGGCTTTTGCCAACCTGCGTCACTTATGGCGTAGGCGAGATGTCCGTTTGCTGACTAAAAGAACGAGTGTACTGCGCAGTAGTTCGCTCTGTCTTACTTTATGGCTGTGAAACATGGCCAATAAGAGTAGAAGATATTCGTAGGTTACTGGTTTTCGATCATAGGTGTCTTCGAAACATTTCTCGTATATCGTGGGACACCCGAGTGAGCAACGCTGTTATTAGAAAACGGGTGCTAGGTAAGAATGGCATATCAATAGATGAAGTGGTGAAACTTCATCAGTTGAGGTGGTTGGGACACGTGTTGCGTATGCCTAACCACCGACTGCCTCGTCGAGCTTTGTTTTGTAGTGTAGGAATAGGTTGGAAGAAAGTTAGGGCCGGCCAAACCAAAACATGGCAGAAATCGATGAAGTCATTGACGAGTGGATTTAGCCATGTTGGTAATTTTCGACTACCTGGTTGGGGTCCGCGAGATGATAATAATCGATGGTTAGAGACCTTGAATGACATGGCTCAAAATCGTTCGCAATGGCTCGGGTGCATTTAATCTTTGTGTTCTCTCAAATCCTAATCTTCTTGATTCGTCAACCCCCCTAGTTTTAACTTTCTAGACTTTTATCACTGAATCATACATCTTTAATTGTATCTTCTAATCCTAACATCTCCGATTACTTCTAATACCTTAATTACCTCTCCTACTATTGGATTTGAATTGACAATGACATCTCTTTGCTGATGTGGTATGGCAACATGAACTGATGTACTTACGTACGAAGTTCTACGTTTCATCTGAATGACTGACATAATCTAATATATAGTCTCAGGAATCAATGAAAAGTAAGCTTTGATTGAACTATTCATAGTATAACTAGTCATTTGGAGGGTTTCCTTACAAGCGAACAATACTATACAGAAAAATAGACAAAGCAGTACTGATAACATATGAATATAGATTAAAAAAAAACTTCACGTAGTTAGTAAAACTATCAACTCCATATTGTTATTCAAGCTATTATTCTTTCTTAACGTTTGAATTCATCCTATGATTGGTGTCACCGACTGCCTGAACAAGCTATGTTTTATGGTGTAGAATTAGGTTGAAAGAGAGCTAGAATAAGCAAAACCAAAACATGGCACAAAGCCATGAAGTCACTTAAAAATGGACTGAGTCATGTTAGTCAAGCGTAGACTACCTGGTTGGTATCCACGAGACCATATAGTAACCGATGATTAGAGAACTTGAACGACGGTGCTCACAATCGTTTGCAATAAATGGTACGAGTACATCCACTGTTTGTGTTCACTCAAATTCTAATCTTATGAATTCTTCATCACCTTTATCTCTCTATCTCTTTTTAAATTTATTTCACTGAATTATACTTCTGGAATCATATTGTCAAACCCTAATCTCTCTGATTATTGCTAATACTTGTGTTAACTCTATCACTTTCGGATTTGAATTGACCATTTAGATAGATTTCTGTGTGCTAATGCTGCAGTATGGAAATTTGAACTGATGTAGGTACGTACGTACGAAGGTCTATGCGTTGTAATTGACAGACTAATTGATATGATCGATTTTTTTTCATTTAAGGCTCACACTGCCCCCCCCTCATTGTTTATATAGTCCTTTTTTTTTCTCTTCATTTTTAGTACATTGATGAAGCTCGAATCGACAGGGAACTAAATGGTGATTTTGATTTTGATGATGATCCTGGTGATACGGAAAATTTTCCTGTGTGTTACATGTGTGAAGGAATTGCTGAATTCTCATGCAGGGAATGTAAAGATAATTTTTGCAAACGATGTTTCAAGTACGTTTTATATATATATATATATATATATATATATATATATATATATATATATATATATATTGCCAATATTATTAGTTATGAGCATCATAATTAAACAAAACTCAATCATATTTTACCATCATAAGTCAATTTGATCATCATAAAGAACCTGTCTTTATTCATAGTTATAAATTTATGAAAACAGCATTCTGCTTTTTCCTGCTAAATGTGAACACATGAATTTAAGTTATGTTAAGTTTTAGGTTTACGAAATTCAAGGTAATTTGATCGTTACGAAAGATGATTAATCATTCTATCTCCCCTTAACAGACTGAAACATGTGCGATATTTTGTTTTTTCTCAAAAAATGCAATACGACAGAGCATTCAGTTTTAAAATTGCAACAACAATCTGTACACAATTAGTAAGTACATAGACTGAAAAGTCAGCTGTCAGTCAGTCAGTCAGTCAGTCAGATACAACGTAGAACTTTGTACGTAAGTATATCAGTTCATGTTGCCATACCACATCAGCAAAGAGATGTCATTGTCAATTCAAATCCAATAGTAGAAGAAGTAGTAAAGGTATTAGGAGTAATCGGAGAGGTTAGGATTAGAAGATATTATTCAAGAAGTATGATTCAATGAGAAAAGTTTAGAGAGTCAAAACTAGAGTTGTTGAAGAACCCAGAAGATTAGGATTTGAGAGAACACAAAGAATAAATGAAACGGCGCCATTGCGAACAATTTTGAGCCATGTCATTCAAGGTCTCTAACCATCGATTATTATCATCTCGCGGACCCCAACCAGGTAGTCGAAAATTACCAACATGGCTAAATCCACTCGTCAATGACTTCATGGATTTGTGCCATGTTTTGGTTTGGCCGGCCCTAACTTTCTTCCAACCTATTCCTACACTACAAAACAAAGCTCTTCGAGGCAGTCGGTGGTTAGGCATACGCAACACATGTCCCAACCACCTCAATTGATGAAGTTTCATTACTTCATCAATTGATTTGCCATTCCTACCTAGCACCCGTTTTCTAATAACAGCGTTGCTCACTCGGGCGTCCCACGATATACGAGCAATGCTTCGAAGACACCTATGATCGAAAACCAGTAACCTACGAATATCTTCTACTCTCGCTGGCCATGTTTCACAGCCATAAAGTAAGACGGAGCGAACTACTGCACAGTACACTCGTCCTTTAGTCAGCAAACGGACATCTCGCCTTCGCCATAAGTGACGCAGGTTGGCAACAACCAATTGAGCCTTCTGTATCCGTGCCGAGATTTCGTCAGTCACCAGGCCATCGGCACTGATGAGAATCCCAAGATAAGTGAAACGGTCTACACGTTAGACTACTTCACTCCCTATCACTAGTTCCGGTGCCGATGAAACTCAATCTTTTTGCATTTCGAGAGGGAAAATTGCATACCGAACATGCTTGCATTGTTGCTTAGGGTGGTCAGAAGACTCTGCATTTTGTCAGCGTCTTCAACAAGTAGGACTATGTCATCGGCATATTCCAAGTCAATGATCGAGCCACCTTGTAGAAGGTCTACTCCTGAAAAGTTAGCTGAAGAGGAACCTAACATTTAATAGGCTCTAGCAGTGGTCTAAACGAAAGAAATCAAGATCAAACTAGTTGATTGTTACAGATAATGAATATTTTAAGGAATGATAAGATTCATTTATATATATATATATATATATATATATATATATATACCATAAGTCAATATAAATCTGTCATGACCTTAGTTTATATGCCATCATAAAATTTAGTGAGTAGTATAACTTTCTCCGCAAAATCCATTTCTATTATATTTTCCTCTAGTATTATTAAATGGGATAAATAATATGTGGTTTGTTTTTTAAATGAAACTGTGTTTACCCTTTTTTCCTTCTTCACGTACAATTAATTAATATCATTATTGTTAATAATGTTAATTCGAAACTGAATAACTTTACTTAACACAAACTTTAACAATTTAACGATATATGGTCGTAGTCATAGTAGGTTATTTCTTGCATATATTTGACTTCAACGATGTACTTTATTAGCAGGTTGATTCTCTCAGTATTTACTATGCGCTGCGTAATTGAGATTGTTTCGAAACGAAAAACATCATCAGCTGTCAGGATAGTGTGTAATTGTTAATAATTACTGGAACCCATAAGGCATATGATAGGCAAGTAAGTATACTAGAACACGAGTAATGAAACGAGCATGTGTGTCTGTTTTCTTTTTTTTGAGTGCGTTCATCCAAATGTGAATCAAGTTATTGATCGGCTAAGTTCATAACCAATTAGAGAATAAATAGATAAAGATTTTTGAATGGCATATATATGAGCTCAAACATTATCGAAACAAATGTATACCTAGTGAATCGAATGTTTTAGTTTACAGTAAGCAGGTAATAAACGTATGACAGGCGTTTTTTGGTTGTACAAATAAATTAAAAAAGCTTGCTATATACTTCCTTCTTAACTAGTTAGTTATTTTCATCAGTTCATGTTGCCATACCACATTAGCACAGAGAGATGGAATTGTCAATTCAAATCCCATAGTAGTAGAGGTAGTAAATGTATTAGCAATAATCGGAGAGGTTAGGATTAGAAGATATTATTCAAGAAGTAGAATCTAGTGAAATATACTTCCACAGTGTGGGCAGCCAGGAAGTGACAACCACCCTCATACCCGTAACAGCACACGAGACTAAATTGGTCAAAATCAAATCCTTCTTACACCCCCCTTATAATATCTCTAATACCCCGTAACGTAAAAAGATGAAGATAAAGTGATGAGAAATTAAAAAGTTTAAGATTTGAGAGAATACAAAGAATGAATGCACCTGTGTCATTGCAAACGGTTTTGAGCCATGTCACTCAGGGTCTCTAACCATCCATTATTATCTTCTCGCGGACCCCAACCTCAGGTAGCCTACATTTATCAACATGACTTAGTCCACTTGTCAGTGACTTTATGGATTTGTGCCATGTTTTGGTTTCGCCTCCTCTTGCTTTTTCTTTAAATGAAGCATACGTTATTAATGTTGTCCAAAATGACAACGAAAATAACGTTTGCTTCATTTTAAAAAACTGAAGAATTAAATCGTCCAACTCAGAAAATGCAGTACTGCCAAAATCATTCATCTAAGCTGTAAATCTTTAAATATTATTTCAACTTAAATTCATTACATTAGACTACTATTAAAATTAACTCAAATCACATCTCATGTATCAGTTGTAGTTGTACAACTTAGTTGCCCAGATTGAAATAAATGGATTGATGTTCGAGCCTAAGTCTTAACGACTAAAAACCATTGAATCGTTGATTGATTCAAGTTAGACACAGACACCGTTGCATATCACCTGTTCTGTCAGGAAGTCAAGCGTTCACAGGCGAGATCATCGAAGGTCTTGGTTTCTATTCGCACTTGCACACAAGGACACGCATGCTCACTGTCACTCATAAGTCCTATACTAGGAAAGAACGACCGTTCAATGTTTTGAACGACATGTTTTACGAATGCCCAATCACCGACTGCCTCGTTAAGCTATATTCTGTGGTGTAGGAGTAGGTTAGGGGCGACCAAACCAAAACATGACACAAATCCATGAAGTCACTGACAAGTGGACTGAGTCATGTTGGTAGATGCAAGCTACCTGGTTAGGATCCGCGAGACGATAATAACCGATGGTTAGAGACCTTAAATGACATGGCTCAAAATCGTCCGCAATGGCGCCGGTGCATTTATTCTTTGTGTTCTCTGAAATTCTAACCTCCTAAATTCTTCATCATCTCTATCCTTCTCTTTCTAAATTTATCTCACTGAATTATACTTCTTGAATCATATCTTCGCTCCCTAATCTTCTCCATTACTGCTAATATTCCTATTATCTCTACCACTATTGGATTTGAACTGACAATTGTGTCTTTGTGCTGATATAGGGTATGGGAACTGGAACTGATGTACGTACGTCAGTCAGTCAGTCAGTCAGATGCAACGTAGAACTTCGTACGTAAGTACATCAGTTCATGTCGCCATACCACATCAGCAAAGAGATGTAATTGTCGATTCAAATCTAAAAGTAGAAGAGGTAGTAAAAGTATTAGAAGTAATCGGAGTGTTGAGGATTCGAAGATATTATTCAAGAAGTATGATTCAGTCAGATAAGTTTGGAAAGTCAAAACTAGAGGTGTTGAAGAATCCAGAAGAGTAGGATTTGATAGAACACAAAGAGTGAATGCACCGGCGCCATTGCGAACGATTTTGAGACATGTCAATCAAGGTCTCTAACCATCGATTATTATCATCTCGTGGACCCCAACCAGGTAGTCTACATCTACCAACATGGCTCAGTCCACTTGTCAATGACTTGATAGATTTCTGCCATGTTTTGGTTTGGCCGACTGATGTACATACGTACAAAGTTTTACGTTGCTATTGATTGGATTGACCTAACATTGGTTAATTCATGATTTCAATAGATGAATGAATGAATTACATTGAATTTATTATCACTTACATGATTCAATATCACTGCAGCTTTCTTTTTAATTTTAAAATTTCAAGTTTGTTTTTTTTTTGTTTTTTTCTTTGTATTTTGACATAGTAAAACACACAATAAACGATTAAGATTAGAACATAAAATTGAAATTTTCAAATGAACGCTCATTGTGTCAGTCAATTTCAATTGGTTGTTTTACCATCATTGTTTTTTTATATTATAATAGTTCAAGATGAAATTTTATTTATTTGAATAATATATTACTCTTATTATTGTCTATTAATTTCTGCGTCATGTAAGATAAATTTTGTTTTTTGCTTTTTTGGACATCTGTTACTTCTCTCTCTCTCTCTCTCTCTGTTGTCTTTCATCATTCTCCGCTTACTGTCGTTGACTTTTTTGTACATTTGTGTTTTATCTTCATAGTTATTCGATATAAATATTGTTTTTTTGCTAAAAAGATCATTTTCTGTTATGGCAAAATGTGTTTGTGAAGCTTACTTTGGCAGTGATTGATTGATTACAGTTTTTTTAATGTAGTAGTGACACGTGATCTGATTTCAGTTTGTTTGTTTTTCTTGGTGAACATTTATTTGAATATGCTATGATCAGTATGCAAAAAGTCCGCTCGACTGATGGTTTGTGTGGATATGTGTGTTCCAGTTCACTCCGTCTTACTTTATGGCTGGGAAACATGGCCAGCGAGAGTAGAAGATATTCGTAGGTTACTGGTTTTCGATCATAGGTGTCTTCGAAACATTTCTCGTATATCGTGGGACACGCGAGTGAACAACGCTGTTATTAGGAAACGGGTGCTAGGTGAGAATGGCAGATCAATAGATAAAGTAATGAAACTCATCAATTGAGGTGGTTGGGACATGTGTTGCGTATGCCCAACCACTGACTGCCTCGTCGAGCTTTGTTTTGCAGTGTAGGAATAGGTTGTAAGAAAGTTAGGGGCGGCCAAACCAAAAGATGGCAGAAATCGATGAAGTCATTGACGAGTGGATTTAGCCATGTCGGTAATTGTCGACTACCTGGTTGGGGTCCGCAAGATGATAATAATCAATGGTTAGAGACCTTGAATGACATGGCTCAAAACCGTTTGCAATGGCGTCAGTGCATTTACTCTTTGTGTTCTCTCAAATCCTAATCTTCTGGATTATTCAACAACTCTAGTTTTAACTTTCTAAACTTTTTTCATTGAATCATACTTCTTGAATAATATTTTCTAATCCTAACCCCTCCGATTACTTCTAATACTTTTACTACCTCTACTACTATTGGATTTGAATTGACAATGATATCTCTTTGCTGATGTGGTATGGCAACATGAACTGATGTACTTACGTACGAAGTTCTACGTTGCATCTGACTGACTGTGTGTTGCCCTATGGTTACAGATCTTACGCTACCTATTTTGGTTTTGGCAATCGGATAGTTTTATTCAGTCAGTTACAATGTAGAAATTTACGTGTACGTACATCAGTTCAGGTTGTCATACCTCATTAGCACAGAAACACAACTGTCAGTTCAAATCCCATAGTGGTGGAGATGGTAGAAGTATTAGCGGCTATGGAGAAGATTAGGGTTTGAAGATATTATTTAAGAAGTGTAATTCAGTGAGATAAACTTAGAAAAAGTAGTTGATAGAGGTGATGAAGAATACGGAAGATTAGAATTTCAGAGAACACGAAAAGTGAATAAACCTGCATAATTGCAAACGATTTTGTGCCATTTCGTTCAATGTCTCCAACAAAATAACGATATGATAAAGCGATATTTTCTATATGCATACCCTCTGACTTTGAGATATTTGTCTGTGTTGTTCGTCAAGTTTGATACGTTTATTCCATTCGTTGAATGCATAGAGTTTGGGAGGCTCTTACTCGACGTAATTCTGTAGGCTGCCTTAAATCCGGAATAGGGCTTTACACTTTTTTCTCTTCTTATCCCGTTCTCCCCGCGCACATTGTTCTACATGCTCTCCTAGTGTACAAAGTAACTTCTGGCTAGATGCGAACCGCTACATGTTGGTCGAGCCTGCCAGGATTCAAAAGTCTAAGAAATGATACTGATTTATTCACAGCCCTAACTCAAGTACTTCAAGCACTGGGACAGTGCTTTGTCAGAAGGGATAGCTATGCAACAGCTTAAAAGCCCTACACTATCCGCTCGCAGTTCGGTGTTAGGATATTCATGGAATATAGTAAGAAAATTATTGGTCAATTCCCATTGGTTAATTCCTACTGGTCAATTTTATGGTCGTCCTAGATATCAAGTTCACTTCAAATGTTGTTTCCTATTGGTCGTCTTAACTGTCAACGTCACAGACTTCGTTGCTGTTTCCTATTCGACCAAAATATATAAATACGCACTATCTGTAACGTTTTATGACCAGGACCCGGATCCCTAGTCCGGGATCCTGATTCTCTTCTGGACTCGGACTCAAGTATATCAAAATGACGTGTTTACGTGCAGGCGTAACATTTGGCTTTCCAGAATATCTGAATGTAAAGCTTGTGTAACTACTGATTGTCGCTTATTACCCAGTTCTCCTCACTTAGGCTACTCTGTATGCTCTCCGAGTATACAAAATATCTTCTGGCTAAATGCAAACCGCTACAAGTTTTTATATTAATTAGTGGATCAAGTTATGTACTTGTTTTTCGGTATTAACAATGTGATTGCTTAACATCAATGAGGTCCGACCTTCTACATTCGTTGGAAATAATAATGTATTCCATTTACCAAGTAAGTAAGTACCGATTCAATATGCTCAGCTTTGAACTCATGCTTCATATGTGTTAAGGTTAATGATAGTACCCGACTGACTAAACCAAATTTAGTAAAATAAGCCTTGAACCTACGAAATAGTAATTAAAAGTCGAACATCTTAATCACTGATCCACTGTTTTCCATAGAAACATTGGCTTTAATAATTAAAATATTCAAGTTGAAGTCACTTTCCCACTTCATTACACCTATTGATTGTCATATCAATAATGTGAATCAATTGCATGTATGTTGACTAATGATTGATAAATAATTCCTACAATCCAGTCATACTAATTGGGTTTTGGTTCACATGGATTTCTTACATTTTCCCAGTTACCCAATCAGAGAACAAGGAAAGTCATCATGGATTAGTATAGAAGCTGAGTAATAGGTATATATCCAACCGTAGCTGCTATCTTGACATGGTGGTCAGGCTTGCCTATCGTAATGACCCAACCGAGCTATATTGGCTTGAATATACGTTCCTTTAGGTCTTACCATTCTAGGTAGGTAGATTGGAGAACGTTGAGACTAAAAGCAGTAACTCTAGGTGTGAGAGCGAAGTCGCACTGCTGACTGTTGAGGGATTTTTCTCTCGGACAGCCAGCATCTGCAGCGATGCTGCCTTATCAAAAGGAAGGAAGGAGTTAGAAAAGGTTGGTCCTTAGGATGTCACACTTCACCCTGCCTCACGGGTTTCCGTCTCCGATGGCAAGGCCATTTGAAGAGCGGAGCTCACACTTCAAAAGCTTCCAATAAAAAGGCTATGCATGACCTGCCCCAATCAGTTGTTCTCTGGGCTCTGCGTTCATGCTCCATTCTCTTTTACAGGTTCGTCAAGAAATACCCTTCCACGATGTGAGCAGCCTGAAGACGACATCCGCCCTTATACCCGTAGTAACACACGAGACCAAATTAGTCACAATCAAATCCTTCCCGCACCTCTTAATAGCTCTCTCACCTCCACAGCCAACACTTCTTTCACTCCTTTGCCACCTCGTGCCGCTGATGCAAATGTTTCGAATGGGTATATCTATCTATAGGTATAACTATAAGTCTCCACTATCTCAGTTGAAGTTATGTTTGATTAGTTTCTAACATTAAATAAGTTCTACTGATCAACTTATACTTGTTGCAGACACCGGAAATGCCCGTATTGAGGTTGTCAGATAACATTGCGAGTAGTCTTCCGCTGACAGATGCAATTACCATGTTCTCCTCGGTCGCCAATTGATCATTAATTAGTTGTGATAAAGCATCTACCTGAACGAATGGTTGAGTGCGTCGGTATTGGATTTCGAAATGGCATACCATATGTAATTGTATCTGACAACGGGTCGCAATTTACCTCTAGCCAATTCCAAGTTTCCTGTCAACGGCTAGCCATCAAGCTCTTACGGTCGCCACCATACCACGCGCAGTCGAATGGGCAAGTGGAAAGGTTTGTGGATACGTTTAAAAGAGTTTTGGTTAAGTCAAAAGGGGTGAGGACACCAGCCGACGCGTTACAAATTTTCTTGTATGTTTATCGAACAACACCAAATGGGAATTACCGGAGAAAATGTCCCCAGCAGAAATCGTGATAATAAAAAGACTGGAAACGACCCCCAGCCTGATTCATCCGAGTAATGCATCAACACCAGCAGAGACCAAGTCGAAAAGGCAATCAACGTACGAAGTGGGATGTCCTGTGTTTGCCTGTGACTACAGAACAAACCATGGTCATTATACAGAAGCGTGAGTGGTCAGATGATTTGACTGTGTTATGTACCAAGTAGAGGTAGGAGGAGAAAGGTGGTCACGCCATCGAAGTCAGATACGCAAATGGCTAGCCCCAGATCGCCCATCAACAGAAGTAAATCTTCCTGTTGACATCCTGCTAGATACCTTCAACTTATTTGCAGCTCCATCAAGAGAAAAAGCTCAACAACAAGCTGATCTACGTTCTATAAAATATCCTCTCCGACAACCGCGAACAACAGTCAAGATACAAGTCGACCCTAGGAACGCACGCTCTTGAGAAGGAGAGGAGTGTTGGGGACGTCAGATCCCCAGAACTCACTTGATAAAGGTCCTCATTTTGGATTTTGTGTTTTCGCGCATGAGCTGATCAGTTGTATAAATAAGCTTGAGTTGTGTACTTGAGAACCTCAACCTTTCTGGATGCATGTAGAATAAATTATCTACGCCTTATCAAGACTTCTTGCTCTAGTTAGCGGGGCCTGGGACAATCGTATTAGAATAGCCTATTGTGTCACTGTATCGTAGATCGTCGTTCCGTTTACCGTGTAAGGTGAATTCGTAATAGTTTTAAATATATCAACAATGGAACAATTATTCCTAGTCTAAATGACACAAATCTTTTACTGTACGTTTCGATGTTAGCGTTCTGAGTCAATTGACAGAAGTTATCTTTGACTTAGGCTTTTGTTCCTATCAGTACTCATCAATCAATAGATAGGAGTAACAAGAAATAGTTGATAATTTATGAAGAACACAATGTCATATGATAAAAATATTACAAGTGGTTATAGAAAGAAGAATAATTTTAGGATTTTTTCGGGCAGAGTTTTGGAAGTTTGTGTTTTTACACATTTGAAATCATCAATCAATCATTTTTAGACCACCATTAGAAACCTGGAAGCACTGGACGGCCGTTTCGTCCTTGTACAGGACTCATCAGCAGTGCGCATCCACGACTCCTGCACCTCGCAGGATTCGAACCCGAGACCT